GACCCTTTGCCTAGAGAATGGTGTTGCCCCACTATGGGCTGGGTCTCCCCACATCAAGTTCTCCCACAGACATGCCCCAGGACAAATGGATTTAGACAATCCCTTCTGAGAGTCTCTCTTCTGGACGATTTCTTGATTCTGTCAAATTGACAATCAAAACTAGCCAGGATAGTGACTGTGCTATCTCCTTGGGCCCCACAAAAGAACATTTCTAACAAGGCTTCACTATAGTATGTGAGCCAATTGAAATGCTCCATGGGGCTTTTGTCTCCTGCAGGAGTGAGTGCCCAGGTCTGCCTCGGGGCCTATGTTCTTCTTCTGAGGCTCCTATAACAAATAAACCCAAGCTCAGGGATTAAACCACAGAAATGTATTGTCTCCCAGTTCTGGAGAAGAGAAATCCAAAGGCAAGCTATGGACTTCTTCCAGAGACTCTAGGAGAGGGCCCATCCTGCCTCTTCCTCTAGGCTCTGGTGGCTCCTGGCATTTCTGGACCAAGGTCCAGCATTACAAACTCTACTCCATCGTTTCATGGCTTCTGTGTCTTCTTGTCAGGGATGAGGAAATGGCTCAGCTAGTAAAGATAATTTGCTTCAGACCTCCAGAACCTGTGTATAAAAACCAGGTAGAGACAAGCAGACCCCTGGAAGCTGGAGTCAGCTGGCCTGGCTTCTGTGGGGGAAGTTCCAGGGCAGTGACACCCTGCATCAAACAAGATGTGGAAAGCACCTAAGGACCCACACTCAGGCTGTCCTGTCATCTCCACCCTCACACCACACGTGCACCTGTACCCACAAGAACACGCACACGTGCGCGCTCGCACACACACACACTCACACTCTTAATGTAAAGACCAACCAACAAACAAAAATACTATTCTGGGCTGGGGAGATAGATATCTCAGTGGCTAAAGTACTTGCTCAACAAGTCTGAGTACCACGTTTGGATCCCAGGACACACATGAAGAAGCCAGGTGTGGCATCAGGTACTTGACATCCCATTGCTGAAGAGGTAGAGACAGAGCTCCCTAGCCAGCCAGCCTAGCTGAAAAGGTGAGCTCCAGGGTCAGTGAGAGACCCTGTCTCAAAAACTGTGGTGGAGCACAATTGAGGAAGCCATCTTCTGTCATGGCTGGCTTTGAACTTGATCCTCCTGCCGCTGCCGCCTGAGTGCTGGGATTAGATATGCCAAGCCATGCCTACATCTTTTTTTCCTTTCAAAATTATCTTTTATTTTTCGGTGTTATAAAGCCACATGTGGTTTTAAATTTTATTATTGTGTATGTGTGATGGAGATGTGTGTGGAGGTCAACTTTGTGAGGTTGGTTCTCTCCTTTCTGTGGGGATCCAGGTTGGAACTCAGGTCATCAGGCTTGGCAGCCAGTGCCTTTACCCCTTACCCATCTCATCATCCATATGTATTTATTTTAAAACATGGTTTAGGTGTTGGAGAGATGGCTCAGCTGGTGAAAGCAATTGCTGCAGGGCTGGAGAGATGGCTCAGTGATTAAAGAGGACCCAAGGTCAATTCCCAGAATCCATATGGCAGCTCTGTAATTCCAGTTCCAGGGGATCCAACGCCCTCTTCTGACAGCTAAGGGCACCAGGCACATGGGTGTGGTGCACAGACATACTTGTAGGTAAAACCCCACATACACATGAATAAGTAATAATTTAAAAATTTAAAAGTACTTGCTGCTCTTGCAGAAGACCAGGTTTCAATTCCTAGCAACCACATGGTAGCTCACAGCTGCCTATAGCTTGAGTTCAAGGGGATCTGACACCTTCTTCTGGCCTCCATAGGTAGTACATACACATGATGTACATATGTGCAAGCAAGGCACTCATACACATAAAATAAGAGTAAATAGATATTTAACATTAATAAAAATTAAACAAGGTTTCATTAATTTCCCCAGCTAGCCTAGGTCTGTACATCTTCTAGCTCAGCCTACCCAACAGCTGGGATTATAGGAGTGTGCCGCCATGCCCCACAGAACACTCTTCTTGGGAGAAGGAAAATTATTTTTACAGTGACATTATAACAACATGGAGAGTTGTTTTGCATAATGTTAAGCATTTTGTAAAACTGTGCATAAGTTATTACTATTACAGAAACACACTTAGGAATAAAATGCTTATATTTTAAAAGGCAAAGTGGACCGATCACCAGTCACTAGGGACAGAGTTCCTATGGCCATAATGCCTCCTGGAGACTGGGAAACCTAAGAATGAGCCACAGGATGACCCTTCAGCTGGATGGCCAAGGCCCCGAGACTCACTGTCCCACTCTCCTGAGATGCTTCAGCTGTCTTTTGGAAGCGAAGGGTTTCTCTGCCATCAGTTCCCTGTGGGGCCACCCTGGCCCCGGCTCTGCTCTGAGGACTGGTTTCCTGCATGATGGGCACCAAGTCAGAGGCTCCCACTACCTTCTTTCTTCTCCTTCTTTCTGTCTAACATTTCATCCTCCTTCCTGCGTGAAGGCTGTGAGATGATTCGGAGGACATGATGCTCAGTCGGTAAAGCGCCTGTTGCCAAGCGTGAGGACCAGAACCACTGTATAGAAGCCAGTTGTGGTGGTGCACGTGTGTCACACACACCC